CCATGTGCTCGGCCAAAATCAACACAACAAATGCGTTCAACGCAACGAGGAGGAAGCTAACGAGGACTGGGACAATCTCTTACAAATAGCCTATATTTCACCCGAGAAGTACTAAGCCAAATTTTTTCACTCATCGCCGCCAAGCTAGTTCATCAGTCAAGAGGGAATGCCAACCAACTTCGGTATTGTTTTCGATTCATCGCCGCCCAAGGAACCACAAAAATCATGATAAGCCGCCGAAATTTTCACTTAAATCGATCTATCTAATCTCTCTGAGCCGCCAAGTTATTCAATTTATCAAGGGGGAATGTCAGCGCCCGTTTCCTTTTCGATTCATCGCCTATATCTCTTGAATCACCGCCGCCTATATTTGAAAATTCGGAACATAAAAATCAATGAACTCATCAAAGGGAAGTAGGGGGGAAAGGGGAATTCGCTAATTCACTAACTCGAATGGGGAATGGAAAGGAGAGCCCGATCAGCATATCCAAAACGATTCAAGGAGGTGAATACCACTTCCGGAGCAATTAGAAGCAATAACAACAGACGACAACGTACAGGTAATGATAAATAATAAAATAATGATATTACAAAGTCACCAGCACTTGATAATAATATAAAATAATTAAAATAAATAATAATACTGACATTGTAGAGCACTTTTTACTCATCATATTCAACTCACTTCAGATACACCCTTCCAGGAATGCTGAATCCCTTTTTTTGGATTTCCATTATCTTGCACTGTTTTGATTACTTCAGTGCGCCTTACCCTGGGCCTTATACCGGGAAAAATCCGGTTTCAATTAGGCCTTGCCTTACCCCAGGCCTTATACCGGGAAAAATCCGGTTTCAAGTAGGCCTTGCCTTACCCCAGGCCATACACCGGGAAAAATCCGGTTTCAAGTAGGCCTTGCCTTACCCCAGGCCACATACCGGGCAAAATCCGGTTCGATATTGGCCTTACCAAGATCCATACCAATCGAAAGCTCTCAAATCAGTACCAAACCCTCACAAAGAGTAGGCAAAACTGTGGAGTGCAAGTTTCTTCAATTTTTTTTCTTACGGGATTCAGCATTGATATAACTGAGGAAACGCATGCAAGCATATGCATGCCAAGGAAATTCAACATCTTCAATATTTGAAATTCAATGGATTTCATCAAATCAAAGAGGCATATTGCTCACAGCTCTTGATTGGGGTACTACTTATGTAACTGATTCCCATAAAAATAACATCATATTAATAGCAACTGATCAAAATTTCCGTAACCCAGTATTTCGTATCTAAGTGGTCATAAGCGTAGCACTAATTCACTGATGCATTGAATAATCATTATTGAATTGCCAATGTCTTATCAGAAAGTCATCCCTCTCATGAAACATCTTGAAAAACCATCTCAATCAATCTCACCAAGCAAATGACCACCTGAAGTGCTCTACAGTCAGAATTGTAATGAAAAATAACAAAATAATAAACTAAACAATATGATGGCTGGTGATTGATAATATTGTATTGTTGTTGTTGTTGTTGTTGATAATCCGTTGTCGCTGTTGCTATTGCCTCTAATTGATCCGGAATTGATATTCTGCCACAATGCGTTCGAGCAATTGTGGACTGTCCTCCTTGTATCGCTTCAAATATGCGACACACTCGTCCGCCCTACGGTCCGCCTCGGAGCGGAGATGCCGCTTCAAGGGTCGCGACATACCCACCCCTTCGCCCGCTCCAGTTGTCGGGAGGACGAAATGTGTTTCGTCCCGGCCCAACTCCCGAAGACGAGACACGGCGACCTGGCGTGCCTCGATGGTCTTCTTTGACACGCGCAGGCACCTCTCCTGGCGGTGATCCTGCATTCGTAGTTGTATTTGGGCCAAGGAGAGGCCGTAGGGCATTCGGATGTGGTACCCGCAACCCGTGCATAGTGCTGAAAATCGACTCGACTGCTTAGCACTTCTTTTGATGTACATTACAAATATCCAAACTGAGGAATGTTCCGAACGTTATTATTATGGCGAACAATACTTCCATAGGAACATAATTCAGTACCGCTCGAAATTATTTACTTTAGAGTGTATGCTTAGAAATTCATTCAGAAACTCATTATTTGATCAAAAGTTAATGAACTACAAAGCGATTTTTTAAATGACATCGCTTACACTCACATATTTATATCTATTTAGAGAGAGATGCCTTGATTTTATGAATTCATTAAAAATGTGAAGAAAGATCCATCAATTCATCAAAAGATTCAAAAACAATTGGTAAGTATCTAAAATTAAAACATACTGTTATTAGAATGGCATTTGCCCCGTCGTACGTGCGTCATCCATGCGGCTGCTGTTTCGAATGGTGCCCCCGGCCTGGCACAGTTCTCTAATCGGCAATCTGGAAATTTAATATTTCGAGGTGAATTTGAAGTAATACTTGAGGTAAATTTAAAATGGAATTCTGGTGAAATTTCACTTGAAAAGATATAAATTGAATCGCAAACATACATATTTTATCGTTTATTATTTCATAGGCCGGTGTTGTTGGGGCCGCGAGTTCGATGGCGTACTCCGGGGCAAGGTGCTCGATATTAGCGGGTCTGAACGGGGCGGGTCTCGATCGGGTCCTCCTTTCTTCGGGGACATTGGGGACGGGGACGTTGGCGGTATTACTTCTTCTGAAACATACGTCAATTTATTAAATGTTGTCAACCTCAATTATTTGGAGAGAGTGGGGGAGGTCAGTCATTTTCTGAAGCGTGAAACGACCACTGTGCTCTTCCATTTTTCACGAACTGATACTTATTTAATTTCATACCCGAACCGGAATAAAACCTCGATAACTTTGATCCTGCTACTTTAATCCTACTTCACGCTGAGCACGAGTTATATCTCATCCTGAGATTTTCAGATTTTGGTAATGTCCTCAAATGCTCTTTCTCACAATCGGTATACATTCAATGCCGAACGATTTTCTTTCCAATACTTCTACCATGCTGATTCAATTTCATTCAGTGATTATCTGTGATCGATCTTTGCGAGGTTTCCGAGTGGATTAGCTTATAATGATTGAAGAAGGCCAAATTCAACAGATAAAAAACTGGGAAATTTCAATTGAAGCGAGGAACAACTAACAAATTATAACGGGGCGCTTGTGGTGGTGGTGATGCGGTAGGGGTCGGCGGCGTTACAATTATTCGGGGTACTGGTGGCGGCGTTGGGGGCGTTATAACGATGACGGGTGTGACCTGAACATTATAAAATTGATGAATAATCCAAAATTTAATGCTGATATTCCTAAATTTACTAATTCTTAGTCAGAAATTTTCTCAACTAATAGTGAAATGAATTTTCTTTCATCGAGATATATTTTGTTGTCAGCTTTCTCCAACAAATGTGGCAAGAAGATTATTATTATTATCGTTCTGAGTGATATTTTTAGTGGATCGTTTGAGAATGATCGATTCATAATTACTTGTTGGGCCTCCGTCGTCCATCGTTCCTTCTCGGCAAACTGAAAAATAAATTCTTTATTACAAGGATGGACAGATTCGAGGGTGGGGGGGGGGGGGAAAGTGAGAGCCTTGAACCATCAGAATTACCCAGGTCATTTCTGTTATCAACGACCTAAATTTATGGTCTAGTTCTCTTGCTATCTTCCGCATAGGGTCTTCTTCTATTTGAGATTTCGGAAACGAACTGAACAACTTTGTTTTGAATAATGTCTGGAACAATTGCGCAAGGTACATAATTAACGTGAATATATGGAGACTTCAAATTGCATCATTGAGAAGCGAGTTGATATCTTGTTGAAGTAACAATGAATATGAAAATATTTCGAAAAAATTACCCGCTCGGATTGCGGAAATCTTAGCGGCGCATAGCCCAAACTCGACTTGATGGCTTGCCGCACCGGTCCTCTACCCCCGAACATCCAGCTACGGCCACCCGTGCCAATTAGGTGGACCATAAGCTGGAAATTTTTCAGGCGGCATATCACTTCAATCAGCATCGGCGATGCTTCCCAGTCCTCGTTGCCTACCTCCTTAGCCTCATTTACTGGAATACGTCGAGATTAAATCGGTTCGTTGAGAATTCAACGCCAAATTTGAATTGAATGCAATGACTGTATGTGAATCTTGATTACTCGGATTAATGCAATCTCATTTCTCCATGGTTTTCATACATTCCACTCATTTGACCGATCGTCAATTCCTTAATTCTCATTCGTTCAATCTAGCCTTAGTGGCGATTGAACCTATTTGTTTGCTACTCGTCACAATTCACTGTTACTATTGGAAGCCTGATCTTTAAATTGTTATCAGACTCTGTTCAATTTCAGCATTTTTCATTGCTACACTTTATTAGTTTTGGAATTTTTTGAACTTCTAGAATTATAAGTGATTTTGTTGAAATATTGATTGTTTCATGAAATGATTACTGATCTTATAGATGGTTATTGATAAAACAGATAAGGCAATGAACGCAATTGGTTACCCACCAAAATATTTTTTGTCCAAATTTGGCGGACAATATTTTTTGAGGCTTTCCCAGTGCCTCTCGATGTATTCCCCGACTGCGCGGGGTGATGGCATGATACACATGGCCATTACGAGGGTTAGCATCGAGCTAACCCAAGCTCCTCTCATCTGCGCCGGGAACATGTGGTCACAAAGTGACCCCTCCATCTCCTTCTCTCCAACCTTTCTCTGCTCATAATCCTCCATCACTTTCGCGATTTCTGGAAATTGCAATTTTTAAGTGGTTATTCGATGCACTCTGAATGATTATCGAACACAACGAAATTGAAATGGTGAACGTATAATGAACGCATTTTCGATTATCAACAATGGATGCGACCGTCTCTGTATGAATCGCACTGCACTCAACACTATAATTTTGAAGATATAAATTCATTTCATTGAAAGTTTTGCTCTCTCGCAGACTAAAGTATTCGGTTCAGACACATGATCTTTGCCATAGATCATTTCTCGAGCGATGCATAATCTCATAGTCACTGATAGTATCACAAAAGTACAGTTGAGGACGTCAAATGAATGATCAGAGATCAAAACTTTTTATGATGTTGTTTACTCACAATCGGTACATTGGAATTTAGCAATAGCCTTGTGAACGCACTCTGTCCAAAAAGCATTGTAAGCATGGAACGTCAAACGACGTTCCATGCATACAATGCTT